AACAGTGTGGAGATTCCTCAAAAGACTAGGAATAGACTTACCATATGACCCAGGAATCCCACTCCTGGGCTTGTATCCAGAAGGAACCCTACTTCAGGATGACACCTACACCCCAATGTTCATAGGAGCACTATTTACAATAGCCAAAACATGGAAACAGCCTAAATGTCCATCAACAGGTGCCTGGATAAAGAAGAAGTGGTATATTTATGCAATGGAATACTACTCAGCCATAAAACCGACAACATAATGCCATTTGTAGCAACATGGATGCTCCTGGAGAATGTCATTCTAAGTGAAGTAAGCCAGAAAGAGAAAGAAAAATACCATATGAGATCGCTCATATGTGGAATCTAAAAAACAAAAACAAAAACAAACAAACAAACAAACCAGAGCGTAAATACAGGACAGAAATAGACTCACAGACAGAGAATACAGACTTGTGGTTGCCAGTGGCGTGGAGGGTGGGAAGGGATAGACTGGGATTTCAAAATTGTAGAATAGATAAACAAGATTACACTGTATAGCACAGGGAAATATACGCAAAATGTTATGATAACTCACAGAGCAAAAAATATGACAATGAGTGTGTATATGTCCATGAATGACTGAAAAATTGTGCTGAACACTGGAATTTGACACAACATTGTAAAATGATTATAAGTTAATAAAAAATGTTAAAAAAAAAAGACACACACACAAAAAGTTTCTTCTGTATAGCACAGGGAACTATGTTCAATATCTTATAATAACCTTTATTGAAAAATATGAAAATAAATATATGTATGTATATACAGGACATTGTGCTGTACACCAGAAGTCGACACATTGTAATTGACTGTACTTTAAATTAAAAAAGAAAAACAGAATTGCTATGGGGGAAAAACACACCTCTAAGTATCTTTTCCCAAAATAAAATTTTTTAATTTTATATTTTATTGAAGTATAGTTGATTTACATTAGTTTCAGGTAGACAGCAAAGTGATTCAGTTATACATGTATATGTGCAATTTCAGATTCTTTTCCATTATATGTTATTACAAGAAATGGAATATCGTTCCCTGTGCTATATAGTAAGTACGTAGAAATATCTCAGGAAAGCAGTTTTGAGTTTCATGAACCACAGGTGTCCCGCTAAGGTGCAGGGCAGAGCACGAGTGAGATCCATCGTTCAGCACTAGCTCTGATGCTTGTTCACTTTGTAAGCCTGGGCAGTACTTCACCTCTTCAAACTTAGGTTTTTAAACTTACAAATAACAGCTGACCTAATGAAATCATTTTTTTCTCCCTCTTGCACTCATCTTGTGTTCTCCTGTGGTTTTTCTAGTTGGGTCACAGGAAAGGCCTGTACTCTTTTTGGTAGAGAGAGGATTGAGTTTGAGTCTAAAGTTTTATTTTAGGCAGTCCCTGTGTCAGTCATCTGGGGAAGAAGAAAATACTGGATTGAGAACTGGGAACTGTTTCTAGTTTCCCTCTGTCTCTGGACCTTACTTTCTTTGCTCTGGACCTTTTTTCAAATACATGAGTGATGTGGACTGCTGGGGAGTGTCTGTCAGAAACCTTTATAACTTTGTTCCATGTAGAAACTATATTTCAGTTTCAACTAATTT